GAGAGAGGGGTGGGGGGGGTCCATCCAAAGGCTCCAAGTTTCAGAAACCCTACACCCGCATCATATCCCCTCACGTGCTCCCTATGTGCTCCTCTTTGGGCCACAGCTCAATCTACCAATATCCATTAATCTAATGCAGACTGATACTGTTCCTGTGATCCCCCCCCCTTGCTTGCTTGCAGCCTTTCCAAGAAGTCGGTGAAAGGTTCCGTCATCAAAGGCTCCTCAAAACTGTCCCCGTCCCACTGCTTATGTTGCGGGTGAGATCTCCTTGATGTGATCATTATCACACTTAGATTCTCCTTCGGATGCTTTAGGCTCATCTAGTTTATGCATGTATACATGGATGAGTCTGTACCAGGTTGAATAGGTTAAAACTGGCCTGAGGAGGAAGGAGGTGGACATGGGAGGAGCACAAGAAGGTGCACGTGTGAGCATCAAAGCACCGACCCCCCCTTCTCACGTTTTGAGCTCCTCGAGATCTCCTCGGGAACCGCGATCACAGGTGGTCCTTGTACCTCCTCCCCATAGTTAAATCCCACACTCGATCTGCTGAGCTGATTTGGTCGACCAAACGAACGCAATACTATAGCGTGAGGACTGAGAGAACATGATCTGTGATTTCATGTACGACTTCTCCATCCAGCTTATCGGATTCAGATCCAAGATAAATCCACCCGAAGGTGTGGCTTGGCCAAGCTTAGTTAGATTATGGTGCTGTCTCACCGTACAAGATGGCTATGCTCGAGGTTGCTTGAAAGCCGAGAAAGAAGCCTTGTAAAGCTACGTAGTGATGAGTAGAAATCAAAGATTCACGCTCATCTTTCCAAACATTCAGTCAAACACTCATAATAATGCATTAAGATTGATTTGATGAGCAGAAGTCCTAAATATAAATGTTGATTATCATGAACATTATGATGAGGTGACACTTAATAATTTGAAACAAGTGATTCTCAATGCAAAAATAACCCAACTGATACATTTTATTCCTTAGAAAAAAAAAAAAAACACAAGTGAAAGACAGAGAGACAGCATGTGAAAGAAAAAGTTGAATGTACCATTTCTTAGATTCTTGAGATCTAAAAGGTATTTTGCACAGATAGTTCCAAAAGTGTCTTGGGTTAACACACATGCTTCTTCACTCACCTGATTTGTGGACAAAATCACTACGTTCGATTTGTGTAGCTTGTACTAATTCTTGATATTTTTTAGGGGTTGAACTCATCGCAAAAAATTGTTTCCTCTATTATAATGCTTTAATCCTTAAAAACAAATCTACAATACTTATAGATTTAGAGCTTAGAACTCAAACAAATGATTTGATGGGATTTGATGGGATTTGATGGGCCAAGTTGGGCCGATCACCAGTTAAACCAATCTGGGCTCGGGCTTCTCTTCCATTAAAACTTTCATGTATAGAACATTTTATATGGTATTATCATAGATCATGTTCAAAATGTATTATGGCCTCAAGGGATTTTAATATGACAGATTACATGGACGCAAGTAATTAAGATATGTAGCAGTAGTACTACTACTGACTGCATAATGAAGACTTAAATTTCCAACAAATAGAATGGTAGTGGGTATATTGCCATGGCAAGTGATGCCTTTGGAAACTGGAGGCATGTGTTGCTTGCATCAATGTGATAACCTCAAGGACAGAGTTGTGAGGTAAAGGGCATCATTTAGCACAAACTACAACAAGGGTTTACTAAACAGTAGTTAATGTTGTTTGTGAACTGTGTCTTATCTCTCTCTCTCTCTCTTTCTCTCTTTGCTCTTTGGTCTTAAAGAAAGCTGGTTCTGAGAAGGAGTGATAAGACTCGTTGGAAAACGAAACAAATCCGTAAGTTATGATTTTGATGTTGGCCTTGGAACTTATTCCAACTCGAGAAGGAGGAGACTTTGTCACCTCTTCATTGGTCTCACCGGAATATAGCTCACCCCTTCCCCCTCTCTTTCCCGACTAAGAATCCAAGATGTGCTGTGAGCATCCATGTTATTGGAAGGCCGTGAAGACTAAGGAACAGTAACTCCATCACTTTGTCCACAAACATCTCCTGAGGTGGCCCTACACAGCTTCAGGTAGCAGGGAATTTGCATGCTGTACTCAGCTAAAGGCTTCGCCAAAGGCAAAGCAAAGATGTCATGTGTGCTTTGCAGAATATTCTCTCTTTGGAGCTCCTTTTCCTTGCTCTTTCTTGTGTCTTCACTTCCAGTTGGCTGCCAAGTTGCAAGCGTTAGTGCAGGAAACCAAGCTATTATTTGGTCTAGAAGGATTCCCATCAGCTAAGCCTTCTGTTTGGTAATAATCACTTCGAGCTTTCAGCAAGAGGAATCTTTTGTTGGAGCTGCAAGCCAAGCCAGAATGATAGTTTTGAGCGAGGAATTCATGCGTCATTCAAATGATATGCTGCTTCCAAGTGAAAAGAAAAGCTGTGTTGTAAACATCTTTACTTTCACTATTACTAATCTACTTTTCTAGAACTATAGGTTAGGCAGGAAGAGTAGCGAACCAAAGATGGTTCGGCATCGCTGTCTCTTTCACGTGTACAGTATCAACTGTGTTCTTCTTACATGGCTTCCTCTTCTCTACAAAGATCCACCAACAAAGATAATCGCTGTCATCTAGCAGCATGATCTCGACAGAGCCATCGAATTCATCATCTGATTCGAGAACAAGATCCCTGGAACCAGAAGCTTTTTCCTGCGCACAACTGGACCACAGGATCACATTCCCCTTGACAGTAGTCAGATGTCAAATTGGGTGATGGCTTCCACAGGGGAATGGAGCATCAAACTCCCATGCATCTCATCCCACCTAAGAAGTGAGGCAGCTGGTTCGAGCTTCTGGGAAGCCTCCAAGAGAGATTATCCCATGTGGTGCAACGTTTGATGCTTATCTACCTTCCACACCTTGCCCTCATGCATGGTTGCTTGCTTGACCTGCTCCCTGAGGTCTGTGGGTGTCCTTGTTCAACAAGCATTGCTAAAGTGAAACCAATACGGATTTGATCTTCTTGCTTTAGGTCATGTCATATGCTGTAGATGATCATGCGTGAACTTGCAGATCACTTTGCTTCTTTTTCGGTTCTAGTAGCGGAAACTTTTTCTAGATAGCCAAAAGTGTAGGCTTTTGGAATTAGTGTTTGCTTGGTGGATTAAGCTGCCATGCTGCCACTTGTTGAAGCAGTCGATGCTCTCCGAGATGAAGGATGATTTAGAACGTGTGAGTTCCATGTCTTCAAATTGTCTTCTTCTTCTTCTTCTTCTTCTTCTTCTTCTTTTTCTTCTTCCACCACTTGTGCAAAAGATTAGTAGTTAAACTTCACGTCGTTTTAGGACAATGGGTCACGTTTCCACAGTCATCTAAAGGCACAAAATGGCTTTGGCCAACATCAGTGTAAATGCTCTCTTAACTTTGAGCTTTAGGTGCAAAAGGAGTTGCTCAACTCAATGAGTCATCATTACTGATGACAGTGAGCATCATCAAACAACGATCAGCTGAGGTCGTAGCCAGGAGAAAGGATTAAAGAAGACATAGATCGAGAAGTGCTGTTTAATTGCATGGTTTCTGAGTTTGTTTCTACAGCCTCGGTGATTGGATGAAAGCAAAAGTTGTCATGGGATTTCTACCTTCGATGCAAGAAACAAAGTTGTACAGAAATCATAAGGAATCATTATGTTTTCTATGTGAAGATCCAAGCGATTCCACACATCCTCCGTTGATGATTAGCTAACGAAACATGTTGAGCTTAGTACGAGAGTTCAAGTGTTATCCGGAGGAAGGATTAAAGCCTTTCTTCTATTGCCTCAAACCAATCAAATTTAGGGGTATTTGATGGTAGAAACACACCCAATCATTATGAATTTTATGCATGAGAGATCAATTCCTTTCTCCAGTCGGACACCCCACCAACCAATCCTATCATTTAACGCGCATATACGGATCCCATCGCTCCACAGGTCTACAAGCGATGCAAAAGAAGACCAAATCATGGACTTCATTGTCTTGCGAGGAGGCAATCTCACAAGCCATCAAGAAATAGATGAAAAATCATGCAACATCAGGAATCTCTGCGCACTTGACAATTGTTTATCGGTGCCGCAATGAACTCACATAATCCAATCAGGACGATGACAACACTCGAAGCCCCATCTGTTGGTTTGGTGCTCATATGACATCAACCATGGGGTCAAAGTTGATTCGGTCACCAAGTTGACGCCTTCCACAAAAGATCGAAGAACAGTGTTGATGCAACCTATCACCCTGATGAGTCCATATTATGCCGGTACATATCAAGTTTTCAAATAAAGTCTAAAATATCCTAAAAAATAAAAAAAAACAAATTTTACACCATTCTACACCAAGCGAAATAGAATCGATAGCAAAAGTATCATCTAGTTTATCTCTATTCATATAATGATAAAAGACATCGTACACATCGATCATTTTACTAGATAGTATTATAAGAGATGCGTTAGAGTTTAATGTACGCCAACACAATATGTATGTCATAGTATTTTCGCTATAAATAATTTCACATAGAATAAAAATTTAGTGGATTTTGATTACAAGATCTATTATGATGTGGTAATTTCTCAAGATAAATAATAGCAAAAGGAAAAACCCTGGAGTAGGATTGGACCACCCTCACAACACCAAGTAAATCTATGAACATAGGCATATCAAAAACCCTATGATTGCATGATTATGATTGGATGAGGCAGACTTTTGTCACATATTCTGTGTGTCTCCTTCCAAACTTCACTAGCATGAGATTCCATGTTACATCACATAAATTAAATTAAAATGCCCCTCTTTTTCCTCTCTTTCTCCGATATACACCAACACTTGTGGCAACGTCAAATTAGAGCTTATATGGTGGGTATGAAAATATTAGGATTTCCAGGGGTGTTTTCGGAATCAGGCTAAAGCCTTTATTAATCCTTACGATTACCGCCACTTGGGTGACCAGCTGCTGCAGATGCAGTCTCAGCACACGTGCGGGGCACGTTTTTTGATACACTGTTCCTGCGGCGCAGCAGCCTCGAGATCGCTTATTTTTCCCCTTATTTTTTCTCTTTTTTTGGAGGGTTTAAAATCATAAGAAAATTATAACAAGAGAAAATAAAGAAAGAAATTAAATGTCAATAAAAAATAATTCAAGAAAGGACGTGTGGACGGGTCCCATTTTGGGTGAATAGAGTTAATGGTGGATTATTCTCGAAACTTAGTTAAAAGGAGGGGATTAATGAGCCTTAAAATGAGATATAAAATGAGGCCGATGGGGTGAGAAGAGACGGGAGAGAACTCCAAAAGCTCGGTGGTAACAGAGGAAGGAAGTGGGAAGTAAAAGGACAGGAAGATGGAGTGGGTGTTGTAGGAGGAGGAAGAAGAAGAAGAAGAAGAAGAAGAAGGAGAAGAGAGAAGATTAGTTCCCGAAAGGGGCCTCCTTTCCCTCTGTTTCCTCCTCTTTCCGGTCCCCCTCCTCCTCTTCATTCCCTCCATACCGTTCCGTGAGTCTCCATCTCTCCTTTCAGATCTCCATCCCTCCCAATTTTCCTTGCCTCAGAAAAGAAGAGGCTTTGTTTTTCTTTTGCTCTCGAAAAAAATCTGAGCGATTCAGAAAAGGTGGGATTTTTTCCCTCTGTTTCCCGATCGCACGGGAGGGGATCCGAAGGAGATAGGTGCGGCGGCGAGTAAAGCGGGAATCTTTTACCCGATTTCTTCGTGCCCGCGGGCTAATTCTCGTGGTGGGATTCTCTGTTCTGAGGTCCTGGTCTCTGGGTTCTCTTCTTTTCTTTTCCTTTTGTGTATAAGGTTGCATTTTTCGCTTCCCAGATCGGTGATTCACTGCTTCTGCTGGTGGGCATACTAGAACATACAACAAGATTTGATTTTTGTGGGTTTACTTTTTTTTCTTTTTTTCTTTTTTGTTCCTAAGCTTGTATCCGATCTATGCACAAGTATTGTAGATCGCGTTACACAGAAAAAAAGATCTAAACTTTCCATTCTGGTTCGTTCTTACTCTTTCTTTGTGGTCCAATTTAAGTCTTAGGGAGGAGATAAGGAGGCCTTTTAGTGGTCAAATTGCAGGCTTTGGGTTTGGCCTTGGAGTTATGTTGGAGGGGCGCTCCTATTTGATATCGAGGGTGTTCAGAAGCTCCTGTGAGCAAGAATCCGATTGGCATTGCATGGATTACCATATCCACGAGTCATCGGACAACAAGAAGCGTCCGCTGGACGAGGAATTTGAAGAACAACAGCTAGAAGACCGGGTCAAGAGGAATAAATCGCCGCAGCTCCCTGATACCCCTGACATCAAGGATATGCAGTTGCTTCTTGACAATTCGTATCACCGTGGCCGGGAGCATGGTGATTCAAGCATTGTCAGTCAGCTTGGCGGGGAACTGATAGTCAGCTGCCTTCTTCGCCTTTCTCGGTCCGATTACGGTGCCGTCGCATCGCTCAACCGGATGTTCCGCTCTTTGATCCGCAGTGGGGAGCTCTACCAGCTGCGCCGCAAGATGGATATCGTCGAGCACTGGGTCTACTTCTCCTGCAGCGTCCTCGAATGGGAGGCTTATGATCCATACCGTGGGCGCTGGATCACGGTTCCTAAAATGCCCCCCACCGAGAGCTTCATGTGCTCCGATAAGGAGTCCCTCGCAGTGGGCACCGAGCTCCTTGTTTTTGGAAAGGAGGTGAATTCCCATATCATACTGAGATATAGCATTTTGACTAACTCCTGGTCTCGTGGTGTGGTTATGAACTCGCCTAGGTGCTTGTTTGGATCCGCTAGCCTCGGAGAGAAGGCCATTGTAGCCGGAGGAACCAATGCTCAGGGTGATATACTGAACTCTGCAGAGCTTTACAATTCCCAAACACAGACCTGGGAGACCTTACCTAGTATGAACCAAGCAAGAAAGATGTGCTCGGGGGTATTCATGGATGAAAAATTTTATGTCATTGGTGGAATGGCTAGCAACACAAAGGTACTGACATGTGGGGAAGAATATGATCTGAAGCGAGGTTCTTGGAGTGTGATCCCTAACATGTCTGATGGACTTAACGGTGCGAATGGTGCACCTCCACTTGTTGCTGTGGTGAACAATGAGCTTTATGCAGCTCACTATGCTGATAAGGAGTTGAGGAAGTATGATAAGGTGAAACATACATGGGTCAGATTGGGAAGCTTGCCCGAAAGCTCTGTCTCAATGAATGGTTGGGGGCTTGCATTCCGTGCCTGCGGTGAACGGCTAATAGTGATTGGTGGAAGGAGAGGTTCTCTTGGAGGGATGATTGAGCTCAATTCGTGGATTCCAAATAGGGGGCCACCAGAATGGAACATGATTGCAAGCAAGCATTCAGGCAACTTTGTTTATAATTGTGCTGTGATGGGCTGCTGATTGATCTGATTTTTTTAGACCTGTATTTTACTTCCCCTGGATGGATGCTCAGCGTCAGCTTGTTAGTGGGCTCAAAGTATAAATTCTGCCTAATGGGTGATAACTGGCTTTCCTGAATTCCAATTAGACTGAAAATTCAGTAGAGGTCTCTTGTCTGTGTAACTCAGAGTTCCATTATTTGTTGCTCCTCTCACCCCTTCATTTATTTTGCATTTGGAGCCCCATCAACAATTACTCTTATATGGCATCATGCAGGACGATTTTTTTGGTCAATAAGTTCAATCTTTGAAATAATTTGAACTCTTGATGAGCAGTAGCTTTATGTGGTTCAAAGGTATCGATTGTCCTTGAGTAAAAGAATTTGCGTTATCTAATTTTGTTATATCCACTCTCATTATTATATTTCCATGGTAGCATTGGATGGCATTAGTTTGCCTTCATGATGAACTAAACATACTTGGTTGCTCTAACTAGTTGTATTCTGTAGCTGTTTGATCTGTTCTTAAGGTCATTTATCTAGGTAATTATGTCTGATCCTTTGAGTTGTCGAAAAGTGTCTGATTTTTCTTTAGGGACCCTTTCTATTCCACTCCTGAATGCGCTGATGGAAGTTTGATTACCTTGCAAGCACAATGTGAGACTTTAAAGGGATGGTGGACAAGTAGCCTGCTAGATATGCTCAGTTGACCGAGGTAATACTTTAAAATTTGTTTATCACATCTAGCGAGCATTGTTCGATGGGAGAATATTGCATCTAGTGTTTCTACTGTTTGTCTGAGATACCTTGGTTATTTTTGCATCATTATCTTCAGGTAGTCATCAAATTGTTCTAGAACTTTTTTTCTGCCAAATCAAAGACCAAGGAAATCTTTTGAAGATCTAGTAAGCTGTGCAATGCAGCAGACACCTTTTTTTTATGAATGAATCTGGGATTTTTTTTTTCACTTACAGAAAAAATACAACAATTTGTTTGTGCCGTTGGATGAAAATGGCTGTTGTACATACCGTAGACCCTGTGGTGCTTAAGTTCACCTTTTATCTTCCTGCATTTCTTTCTTCATGTATACCATTTATATCTATTACTGACTTCCACAAAAAATGGGGAGCAATTTGTCTTGTTTCAACTCTCTCACTGATTTTACATGGTTGACTTTTACTTGTTTTGAAGGAAGAGATTACCAATTTCTCCTGATCTCTGGCTGCTCATATTTAGATTCAAATGTACTTATGCACTTATGTATCACTTTCTTCTGCCTCTTTTACCCAATTTCTCCTAATTTTGTTTATGATATTCCTCTTGCTATCAAAACCATCATAATATCTTCACCTCTGCTTCTTGCATTCGGTAGTTAGCTTTTCTCTGGAGTATCCTCAAATGAAAATTGTGACTTTGTGTGATAAATTGTTAATGATAGCATTGCATGCTTACAGTTATTAGCGAATGAACTAGCAAGGTTCGATTTTTTGATAGGTTATTGATATATTGGATTGCACATTTTTGACAATCTGAAATTTACAAGAGATACTTGAGCACTAGACATATGTAGTGAAGCCTATGCACTCCATTGATCATGCACATTTTTCCTTGATTGATTCATATCTGATTTCTACTCTTCAGAAGGACCCTAAATCTACCCAGGAATTAGCAGTTTTATCATTTTTATTGTGGCCATTGGAGCACTCAAGGCCAAATATTCAGGGAAATTATGACTTGTTATTATAACCCAACAAGGGAAAGATTCATATTTGTTAAATACTCTAGGTGACTCCTGTGATTGACTTTCCCTAATCTTGAACTGGTAGCGCAAGCTCTACTTGTAGTAAGAACTACTGAAGAATTTAGTATTTTAGGATGTCTAGCCTCTCGAAGGATAAACACAAACATTTGACAACAATTATAGATATCCTATAGTCTGTAAAATTAGTGAAACTCTGATATGATTCACAAATGTCATACAATTATTGCCATAGCTCAAGGAATATGAATTATATGCAGATTTTTTTTACATCAAGAAACATCAGTTTTGTGCCTAGATATATATGGTACTTGATGTGATTTTTGACTAAGGTATCTCGAGGCATATTTGTCCACTAGGCAGTCAACTAGGAACCAAGGTAATTGCCCGTACCAACAATGATAATAACACAACATAGAATTAATTGTCTCCGTAAATGTTGAGGTTCTGTTTAATATCCTGTACTGATTCAGGTTTTTTACATAATTAAGGATGTGTTGCCGTCAGCTTGATTTTTTTTCTTGTCCGGTGCTTAACTACTGTAGATACAACCACAATGTAAGGCACATCATGATTTTAGTTGATCAAGATTATTAGTCTTTTTCTTTTTTGGTATAGAAAAATTAAATTGGAACTAGTTGCCAATGATTCTTATTTTGCAGAAACTTATTGGAGGATTTTTTTTTATACTTCTTTTGTTGGATATGAAATATCATGGTATGTTTACATCTCTTTTACGATCTGACACGGAACTGGTGGACTGGTTTACGTTGGATTGACATTGTGTAAGTGAATTTAAAGAAGAAAAAGCGAGAATAGGACCAGTCAGATCCATGAAACTTGTCAGTCTACTGTTTTTTTACAAATTTATCTTCCAGTTGATTATGCAGTCAAAATCTGTCGAAAAGGTCATTTTCTCATGCACCTGACTTATCAGAGAGATTTTGGCTTTTACATATAAGAGAGCAACCAAGTATAATCAAATACTTCTCCAGGTAAGGAGTTTAGAAGGTGACAAATGTAATGCTATAAAATTCTGTGGGGAAGATGCCATCAATGAAGACTCTGTTCCCTTGAAGAATCTTGATTATGTTGACATGTGTTGCTTCAAGTAAATCTAGCGCCAGATTCTGACTTGAATTGGTAATGCATCTGCCAGGCAAAACAGTAGTTTCTTTCTTCTGAAATGCCGGTTTCTTTGGTTTATTATCTACACAACTTTGAAATGCTACTTCTTTTGTATAATGCTATCAAAAACTCAGAGAGGCCTTCTTCCTCAAGAAATCAGAAGATACAGCAGCTTTATTGCTTCTTTTAAGCTTGTCCACTTACTTGCTTAGTGAATTGGCATGAAAGTTTGTGTTTCTTCAAGCTGCTCAAAATATAATAATGGAGTTTTAGCAGTAGAGAAGCAAGACTAGTGACATTGACAGATTAAGTTGCACTGATATGTCTCTTGTGGCCTTCTTCTTGCCTTCATTTGCCAGCCATGAATCCAGTCTCATCTGCTCCAGGGCATTGTAGACAGGCATTGCAACAGAGCAGCTTGCTTCGTGTAGTTTGCTTGTGCCACTGTCGAAAGTAATTTTCCCTGCATTCTGCTGCCAATCATGTAATGCCGCCTACATGACTTGATCAGCCAAATCAAACTCACAAGTTCTCATCAATTCTTCTTCTTCTTCTTCTTCTACCCAAGTATACTTATTGTCCATTACTTTGGTGTGCAGTCATCTGTCGGTTTTTCACATACAAAGCTCAGCAGATCACCACAAGCTTCTTATCCTAAAGCTACAGGAGATGACATGGGGGAGGGGAGAGGGAGTACGATGGCATATCATCTCCGTTATTGCGGTACCGGACGCACCGCAATGCTCGGGATTGGCTGTCACCGGCGGGGCCACCGTCATGAAGTACAACCTGGCTCAACCCAACACGATCTGAGCCCTCCGATTCCATGATGAGGTGCTTTAAAAGTACAACTGCTGCATGCATGCAGTACGCTGATGTCTGATGGTGGCTTTTCCATGCACTTGTTGTGGGTAGGTCGCTTTGTTGGTACACTGCCGCAACCTTTTCTCTGCTTCTGTAGGAGGAAAGAACATGAAGTATCACTTTACCTATTCTCCCTTGTAGTTTATGCATCGATAATTTGCATGAAATCTACTTCTTCACACAGAGCTTGCAATTACAAGTGCATGAAGTATATATAGTTCGACAACACTTTCTCAGAATTATAGTAGCAACTCCCTTTACCTCTTTCTCAAGCAATATGTTAATAGTGTGTGTCTTTTATAGAGTTGGTGTTACTGTTACATGTGAGGATTCAGATTCAATTGGACTCCAGTGATCAGCTTTGCTCTTAAAGATGCCTTCTGGCATTAAGAGTGCAGGTGGAATCTTGATTGGAACCAAGAAAGAGGAGCAATAGAAGTAGTGGTTTTCAGCTGCTAATGGTGATTGAATGTGAATGGTGGTAATAGAAGTGGTAGGCGGACCACATAACACGAACTGTTGCCATCAAAGGCCACTGTCACGTCTCCCTTCCCACACAGATCCAACTCCCCTGTGCTGTTGCCTATCTCCTGCAGCTCCAGAGCGAACCCTTTCCATGGATCACGGTGTCTTCCCATCTCCCCCACAACACCTTGAATGGCCTGCCTTGTAGCTTCGCTTCGAGGTAAAGCAGTCCTAATCAACATCGTGCATCCTCATGTGGATGTGGATGCACCCATGGCTTCCAGATGGCCGGTCCGCCGCCGACGCCGCCCGATATCGCCGCTCCCGGGTGCACACAGCTGCCATCCTCGAGTACACACGTCGGCTGCAAAGCCACCTCATGCGTCGCGATTGGCGGGCGATCACGCGTGATTCGAGGGCGCAGCCAAAGCTGGCTGGGACGCCAATCTGCTCCCTGGTTTCCTGATCTCTCAATCTCCATTGGCACTGGACTTGTGCTCACGTCAAGGACACGAAGCATGTTTCATGTACAGAGGAAACTGGCGAACAAGTGGCGATGACAGCGTGCGTCGTCAAGGTCTTGAGGTCCCTCACGTTTTACCTCAAGTGCGGGGAACGCACAAATAGACCTCGTTTTCGACGTGAGACATGTAGGCCATGGAGCCTCTCCTACAAATACCCCCGACGGATGTTGGTGCAAACTTGCCTTACTGAGATATTTCTACGCTTCTTCCTCACCTTTCTGTACTCCTGCCATTCTAATCTCTTCTCCAGCACTTGGTGCCCATGTCGACCCAGAAATCGAGGATCAGCGACGAGGAAATCAACGAGCTCGTCTGCAAGCTGCAGTCTCTGCTCCCGGAGTCTCGCCGCAGGAACCTGAGCAGGGTATGAATCATATATAACCTTCAGTCTGGCGTTGCCTGTGGTTGATGTGTCGATGCGCGCATGCATGCAGGCGTCGTCGGCGTCCAAGTTGCTGAAGGAGACATGCAGCTACATCAAGAGATTGCACCGCGAGGTGGACGACCTCAGTGGCCGGCTCTCCCATCTGACGTCGACGTTGGACCCCGACAGCCCTCAGGCTGAGATCATCAGGAGCATCCTCGGGTCCTGAGCTGAGCTTCTCTGCTGTTGCTGGCGTGAAGAAGGGTTATAAATCTCAGCAAGAGTAACATTACTTCTGATTGATGCAAACCAAATCCTCCAGCAGTTGTTATTGTCATCGTGTTTCTGTATACATATCCAAAGCTTAATCCATTTCTCACTCTATCATCTTGATACAAACACCATGCATGATGATGCTATCAGAAAATGAGCTTGAGAGCTGAAAACTTGAGAAACGTTTGAACTAAATTTGGTGGAAAGAAACACCAAATCTGCAAGTGCTACACACACATTCGTCACCAAGAAGCATTTAGAGAAAGAGGGATCAAGAATTGATGATGCAATTGGCCTGAAGAAGCGATTTGGTCATTGTCCTGGAAGAGACGGTAGGTCGACAAATTGGGCCCGGCTGGTCCCAACAATGGCGGCATGGGAGACAGGAACATTAAAGCCCCTCGTTGGATCATCATAAACACCGTTCCTTGCCCAACCCACGTGAGATTTGTTTCTTCATCGTTTTCCTAATGATTTAGACAGACAAATGCCTTTGATTCAAATTTTCTTTGTGTGTTCAAATGGACAGATATCATGTTAGATGTTCTCACTCAGAGTCTAAATCAATGACGAAAGAGATGAAACAAAAGTAGTAGCTTAAGATTCTTCTCTGTCTCGTGTCCTGCTGTGAAGGAATCACCTGTAGCTGTGTATTGTGGCAAAGGAACACTCTACCTGAGAAAGCAGTACTGCGCTTTTGCTTTGGTTAAAGCAGACGCAGCTATTGGCTGAGAGCTTTAGCTAAGAGAGCTTAGCTTGGACCATGACCGGTCCAACATCTTCCTCCGTGAAACCCAGCACCATAAACTCCTTCTGAAAGTGAGCAAGACGGTGTCGAGTTGCGTGCTGCTCACATCCTTTAACTCGATGTGCACAATGGTGCCACTGTTGGATGGAGAGCAGTAGTGTTGTTCAAGGGCATAAAGCAAGTGTTTGTTCTTTTCTTTGTTGCTGGTCCTACTCCTCGCTACATCTCTGCTTTGTTCATCTGTGTTGCATGTCGAGAGACAAATTAGCTTCTTAGGAAGGACTGTCTTCCAGAATGTCTTTACAGATTCCTGCCAGAACCTTCTAAAACAGCCTTACAGATGCTTGACTGCTGCCATATGATTGGAATGAATCCAAGAATTCAAGTGCTTTGGGCCTCTGTGTAGGTGATCAGCTTTGTGCTTTTAGACCAGGTGACAAAGGAACGATCAAGGATATATCTATAGCGGGGAGGGAAGGAGGAATAATACCTCATGAGAAGAATCACAGTCTCCGAGCTGCTGCTGGGTTTGCTCGACAAGAGAGAACAATGGCTTTTGCTGCCTATAGCTTCATCGTCCTCCTGCTCTGTGTTAGCATTCTTGCTGATGGAACATGGCTGGCCCATGGCAGTAGCAGAGAAGACGCTGCCTCCAAGCTGAGTACAGAGCGGGGAGTGTTAGCGAGGAAGCTGCTGCACATATCGAGGGGGAATGATGTTGCTGGAAACTCGAACAGCAAGAAGAAGAAGAAGAAGAGAGCACCATCTGCATCTTCATCGTACACGGATGCCCAAATGAGCAAGAGAAGGGTTCGACGAGGGTCAGATCCCATCCACAACAGGAGCTGAGTCGCCGGAGCTGCCATGTGATACTGCAGAGGAAAGGGTTTTGTAGTTGTGTGGTCTGCTTGCTGTCTTTCACTTCCTTCCACCATCTGGTTTTCATATAGAGAAACATGTACAGTGGCCAAATAGAAGAGAAACTACATCTTGTCATCTCCGTTTCTTGCAGAGATTGCTGAAAGAGTCTGTTGCCTCTGCCTTTTTCATCTGTGTCAATAAATTCAAAGGATTTCGGACAGCCAAATCGAAGAAAAAACAAAGAAATCAAAATTACTACTGGTGGGGATTGTTTAACTTGGAAATCAAGGACAGTGAGTAGGCCGTATCTTTCGTACACTGCCTTGTCCCTCATAATCTAAGATCAAGTCTCAGTAGATTTGCAGAATCAATAAAGGGTTTCAAAACACTATGTATAAAAAAATCCATCTTACTTTAGTCATGCATGTATACACACAAATATCAAAACTATATTTACAAATTTTCTTACTCTATGTTAATCTCACATTATCAAATTTTTTAATGGTTCCCAGCAGTAACTTGTTTCCAAATTTTCTGTCCAAAGTTGGCACACAAGAAAGATTTCCAAGATTTAAGATGATCAATTTTCTTCACCCAGAGCACAAAAAAAGAAAAGCAAGACTGTTCATAATAGCTACAGGTAAAAAAAACATGACCAACATAAGTATGTAGCACGTGATAACACTTGGTTTGTGGTCACACACCAAACTCCCTTATAAAAGTATTTATTGGATCACTACCTGTTTCCACTAATGCCTATCGGCCTAACAGAAATTAACTTCCTGTGAAGAAAAAGGTCCCAGCAACATTATTGCACATCCTGTGATGCCATCACAACCACCAAGAAGAGCAGAGCTATTTAGAGGAATTGGGAAGAAGGGACAGCAGAAAGAGAAGATGACTCGTTCTCGCTTCCTCTCACTGCTGCTCATCGCAGGATTTATCTCATTGTCCTTCTCTGTAGGTCTCTACCTCAGGTTCTTCTATCATCTTTTTGTTGAGGTAAAGCTTCAAAATGAGTATGAGCCTTTCATAAATGGAAGAAAGATCATTATGAGACATCTGTCTGATCCTGAGGTGAGTTTTCTTTCCTCTTCTTCTTTTTCCAGCTTCAAATTTTTCATTGTTAGGTGCTTCATAAAAGTTTCTTTCGATGGATGTTTCAGTAAAGCATGGTGCAAGCCTACTGAGAATCTGGAGCTAAACACTAATCCAACGAGTGGAGTCATCTGCAACAACACATCCTGTAGCTAAAATACTGCTAATAATATTTACTCTTAACCCCAAAAGTGAAACAAAGAACATGTAAATCCTAAAATAAAATAAAGCAAGGAGTTCTCTAGTAGAGGTCATCTGCTTACAGTGAAATCTTAAATGTTGAGTTCATGCAGAAAAATGATGGGTGATGCTATTCAAATGTCCTTTAATTAGTCTTCTGCTTACCCAAAAAGCTTTGCAGGATAACAACATGGATTAGTTCAGTGTCACCAAGAACTTGAAATGAAATGATTCCATTTAGGGATAAGATATATCCTCAGTACTTTTTAACTGAAGCAGTATTCATATTAAGACTTCCTATGATGGCAAGATGCAAATTCCCACCCCTCCAGCTTCTCAATCGATATTCCGCGATAATCATGGTTGAACAGTAAAACTACTGAGCAAATTATTGAATTTATAAGGACAACATACTCTACGCATGTAACATATATTAGGGATGACAGCAGGGTCAGATTTTTTTCAAACTTATAATAAAGAATGATAACGGCACACTAAACTATTGTCTAATATAAAATTTTCAGATCTTCATAGCTTGAATATAAAGGAATAGAAAGAAAACCATTAGTTCTCAGTAGATCCAAGACTACCATATCATAAATACAGGATAAATTGGCCTGGAAGTAGCAGGCACTGATATCACTAAATGATTAGTCCAAGAATATCCAACATAAGGAGCGGTAGGACTGCTAATTTCAATTATCACAAAACTTCCATTGGGCATGTCTATTGGGATCTAGATGATGCTATGCTAGTTACTGGATGTTGCATCCCCCTGAATCTGGTCCACGACGGACATTACCATAGGCAGAGAGTTCTAGAAGATCCATGTCTCGTCCTACAGTTGATAACAGGTTGGACGTTTTTAAACAAGTAGATGATTCAAATTTTCATTTGACATCCAAACAATATCATTTAGCACCTGAAACCCTGCAATAAGCACTCTTCTGTATGAGTTCAGATTTGGAGACCTCCATCTTGTTCCCCTTGGATCTATTAACAGTTGCCTGCAGACAAGAAAATTATAGTGTATCTTGAAAAATTGATGGAGAAGGAAATTGGTAAAAAATCATAGATGTATCTGAACAAGACAGCATTATCAACTTCAATTTGAAGAAACAAAATCATGTAAACTATAAGAGTGCTACCTATTAAAATATAGAGACTTTGGCTCAAGTCAGGAGTCATGATAATTATATGTTATTCATTTTTGGTCGAGATAAAGATTTAAGGTGCTTTACTGATTTTATAGTATTAAATGCTATGTCTATTGATGAGCACAGTACAAGAAACATTTTTGTACTACAGTCCTACAATAAAACAGGACATTACAGCAAGTGTAAAAGACGAGATGAAAAGCTTGTTAATCACTATGATTTGAGATTCCCTAAATATACTACCAAGATAAGCTGTTAGATATATCTCCACATAAATGTCCCAATGTTATTTCCTAGATTATTTCTCAAACCGAAAACCAAAGATTTTGGAGAACTTCTGATTTTTTTGTTTCTTTTCAAGGGTTAATTAAGTAACAAGTACCCTCCTATAACTAGGTAATTTAACCCCTTGAATCAACTTAAATGAATCATGGGAGGAGACTAGTCTAATAATTAGTGCTTTTTCCCTTTTCTTCTACCCTTTCAGATGAAATCAAGAAAGTAAAAAAAAAAAAAATCAAATGTTATGATAGCATATTCATGTGACCAGATAGAAATGGAAAACGACAAGCAACAACAGATTCCTTATGAATCATATTATTGAGCAAAAATAAAGAAAATAAAAAAAGGGGAATGCTAACACTCATCATTGAGGTGCAAACGAGTCACTGAATTATAAAATAATGTTCACACAAGAGAAAGAACACAAGCTGAGAAACACAAAAGAAAGCATACCTGCAAAACTTGGCAGTTTTCCAGTGTGCTTTTTCCACCCTGACATTAGGTAACATTAGAGAGACAAACTGCAATCTATTGAAATTTGATATAATATGGTAGAATGGTAAAGATGAGTACAAGCTCTACAACAGAATAATCTTTAGAGTGAACAAACAATTGACATTTTAAGAAGCACATTCCGCCTAGTTTCAATTCACTCAAATTGCTGTCTGAAATAATCACTTTAGTAGCTAAAATCCATGATCAGAATCTGCTCCAGTTGTAAAATCCATGATTTTTGTACTTGGCCCCATAAACACGAAAGATCCAAGACTATACTCCATGTAGCAATTTGACCCAAAGACCACCAGAAGAATAAAGGTTTGTAGCTTCCGTTATAACCAATACATTACATCAAAACCCAAAACTGATGGATTTCGGCTAACATTAATTCTGTCTTTGAATCTACTACTCATTATCAGAGTTTGGACTGGTTTCCAGTTTCAATAGTTTTGGCTAAAACTGATTAGCTTCAGGTGAAATTTAATAATTTAAGGTAGAAACATACCTCTTCTGCAAAACTAAAGAACCCATCTTAGAGCTACTTTACTAACAGAAAACTGACAATTCCCATCATTATGAAAACATATAGCTAAATTGCAACTTTCAACAACTAAAGCAGCAATAGCTGCAGTGATAAGTTGATAAAATTAGAAGTACTGCTTGGGATTTGTTTGCTTACGAGATTGCTAATGGACATTCCATTTAACTTTTGTTATGATAGCTAGCTTCATCGGTGGTACCACAGTAGAGAAATTTGATAACGTTTTCATGCAGAATTCGTGTGTTAATGAGCAAGCTAATGATGCTAAGGTCATAACTACTAAGAAAATGGTTCCTGCCATCTTGCTCTTAACAAAAGACCACATCTTTTATGGGCTGAAAATTTGACGACATTAAAACTAAAGACTCAGCTGATATAGCTATCTGGTTATCAAATAGAAGCTAAATTTTTAGCATTACAAGTGTTTGGAATCACATATAAACAAGAGGCAATAATCTGATAGCATAATTTGGTATTGTGAATAACATTTGCCATTCAAAGAAACAGCCGTAGTGCTAGCATCAAGGTCGCACCTTTGAGTACGGGACTATGTGATCGTAGTCGTGGCAAAGGCATCCGGGGCATCCGACGAGCTTACGGAAGACGATGTTTCCGAGGGCGTCGCGGCGCCACCGGTCGGGATCCCGCCCCTTCACCTTCTCGGCCTTGTCCCAGCACTGCAGCTTGACACCGTAAGGAAAGCTCCTAGGGTTCCCAGAGAACGGCCCAGCAGCGCCGCCATCGAAGATCCCCCGCGTCTCGTCCTGTCCCTCATCCTCCCCGAGGAGACCGGGGGGCCCGTCGTGTAGGAAAGATGCGGATGCACTGGAGGGCCTCCGGCGAGAGGCAGAGCGGCGGACGCGTTCGACTCCGGGAGAATCGACGGTGATATCTCCGCTAGGCGACGCGGCGGCTCTCCGACCGCCCGCCGCCGCCTTCCTCGACCTCATTTCCGCTCCTCTTTCTCGAGAAGGCGGAACGAGCCGAGACAGTTTGTGTGTACCATCGGAATCGGGTTTTCATACAAGATGAGAATCCGTTTCCCCCCGCTCATAATTCTGACTCAGCTCGTTACAGATGACTCATCCGAGTCTAATAGCCTGGTCTAGTTTGACTCGAGTCCGACTCAATGTGAGCTAAGCCTGTTAAACCCAGTTCAATGGAAGTCGGGTTCAACCCTGTACTTGTAGCTGGGTTCGAGTCCAAATCGGGCCTGTAGTAGAACAAGCTTGAAAGCACATAAAGACACCTTCTGTCATGAGCAGTTCATGCAATTCCTTTCCAGAATCCAAAAGAAAACAATTGCTTGGCTACAAATTTCTTGCCAACCAATCGAATCAAACTTGCTTGCTAGAAAAAGTTTGGTTCGAGTATCAGTCTCTGCTGAGAAAAGTCTCCCAAACTCAATGGGGGTTCAGAATCAGATTCCTCTGAAATGTCCAACTCTTCATACTGGAGTGATGATTCCCAGCTACAATCATCAGGGTTCAACACCAGGAATGATCCAAAGTCACCATCGACAGCACCAATTCGAATACCAGTGGCAGAATACTTGTGGAAATTCCATTTGGACATGGTCATAATAGCTTGCAATTGTTCTGCTCAAGTGCTATTACGTAGTGCAGTGTAAGTGCTATCCAGTGTTCTTTTGACCGAGTCTTCTGCCGGCACACGAAGAAGAGACATGGAAATTTTTGCTGCAATCTCGTCGTCATCCTCTCAAGTTTCTCCTAAATTTCCACCATTAGAGTCTCATCAGAGTCACAATAAAAATTGCAGATTGAGACTAGCTTTGACAAGGTTCATAAGATTGCAAGCCCACGTAACATCCACAGACTAGCTTTGACATTTCTTTAAGTTCTTTCCTCAAATTCCTGGTCTCTGATTTAGAATATTTTTTCTCTGTTTCTTTTCCTTCAGTGATTCAAATCTTCTGTATTTTATGGAGAGATCTGCAGGTACTCGATAAAAATATTGTATGATGTTGATGTTGTTGTTGTCTTTCAAGGAAGTTTCCACCAAGCCAGTTTCCAACAAAGAGACTGAGCAGAAAAGAATCCATGCTCCTTCCTACAGCCACAGCTCACCTTTCCCCCTGTTTCTTTGCTCCGAAGAAGCATCTTCCTGCCTTCACAAATGGTCTAATCTTCTCCAAACATCTCTTCCGCCTATAAAGGCATCAACTTTGTCTTTATTTTCTCATCAGTCTATCACAGTCTTTTTCCATTAATCACCAACCAAATGGAGAAGTTCGTCTCTTTGGCAGAACCCTTGGAAGTCCTCCTCCTTCACACAGTCCTCCACTGGTTCGCTATGATGCTTGAGAGGCTCTCGCTAGGATTCATGTCCTTCCTCCACTCGTATTTCCAGTTCTGCACATGCCTGTCGATGGCTAAAGATGAGCAACTGATGCATAGTAGCAGCCGCCAGCCTAGAGAAGACCAGTGCCTAAGTAGAAAGGAAGTGGAGATGGTCATGGACAAGATGGGGATATGTTGCCCCTTTGAAGGTGAGCAGCTCTGCGAGCACATGAGTTCTGATGAGATCTCTGGCTTGTTTGAAGAGAACGAGCCAAGTTTGGAAGAAGTAAAGGCAGCCTTTTGCTTCTTCGACGCAAACAACGACGGATTCATCGACGCAGTGGAGCTGCAGACAGCACTCCTCAAGCTGGGCATCACAGAAGGGTTGGAATTGGACGCATGCAGAACGATGATAGCAATCTATGATGGGAACTATGACGGAAAGATTGGTTTCGATGAGTTCGTCAAGCTTATGGAGACCAGCCTTTGCTGAAACTTGCTCTGTTTTTCCTCTCTAGTTGTGTATTTTTCCTCTCTTGTTGTGTTTCTCCTTGGAGCTGTGCAAAGTGAGCTCAAAAAATGAGAATTCAACAAGAGAGTTGATCATATATTTGCCAACTTAGTCCATCTTTATTTTGATTTCTAGTTAGCTTATCAGTGAATTAAGCTGCAGCATCAGGAAGAAAAGATGCAGGTTGGAGAATACACATGTTAGAACTCATCTAACCAAACCATAGCTTTCTCAAGTCCTCCTCTGTCTCTCATATTGGATTTAACCAAACCAGAGTTTTCTCAGGTTTAATCATGGATATTGGGTTGCTTCATATTTTGCATACTTGCCACAGATAATTCTGACAGATGTTGGTTCTTAATCTCAACTGGAAGTGTAGGCTTGGTGTATTCATTGATTATTCTGCATCATCTCCTCCAGCTCTCAGTCCTGACAGCTTGCTTATTCTCAAAAACTACAATAATAACAGGGCCAGAAGCATGCAGATTCAAATTAAATGGTATACAGCTACTTTGTTGGGGGTGTAAGAGACACAATGTTGCACTACCTGTCTTAGAAGTCAACTCTGTAGCAGAGTTTTGAACTTTCATGCAACCTTCCTCAGCATTTGGGTACATTTTTAATGCTTGGTCCATTTGAATTCAAGTCTACCAACACTCTTTGGTTCCACATTGGAAGTGAAAGAATCATCAGACTGATTTATCAAGATTTAGTATTATAATTAATTTGTCTAAATATTTTGAGTAAGTAATTGAAGTTTATTGAGTTAATCAGTCATCCTATTGAACTCCAAATTTTTAAAGGGAGATTTGAAGACACCTAATCACATCATTAATTGGAAGTGTGATAAGACCTGAACATATATAATCATCAATTTAAGCTTAGCTTAGCTTTTTGGATGAATAGTTCATGCTATGCATCTTGAAGATTAGGGTAGAAGATACTAAAACTATGAGAATAAATTTCGATTAAGAATATATATTTCAGTAGAAGTAATATAGCCAACTCAGCAGTTGTCCAGGATAGTCAATGATAGATAGGAGCAGTTCTGGTCAACAGATATGCAATTAGAAGCAACTAAAACATACGATGAGAACGACAACAGCACATTTCAATCTCCACTATACATGGCAGTACTGTTCCTTCCAATTATCTCACTTGAAGCCACATGAACTTGTTGTTACAGCAGAGGACAATGAGGCAACAGAAATCTTCACGGGCAATCCTAACCCTGGAATGTCTGAATGATAGTGTTGTGCCATGGGTCGGAAAGGTGCTGCAGCAGGTTCTCGAATGGCCCTTTGCCAGTCACATTGTGCTGGATGATGAACCCCAGGAAGGCCAACATCGCCAGTCTCCCTACAGCAGAAACAGTACGAACGGTGTCAGCTAATCTTCCTCCCTCTCTACATAACCCCAGTTTGTTCAATGGTTACAGAGCACTCTTACCGTTTGCGAGCTCCTTCTCCTTGGCCTCCAGCGTGGGGGCGAAGTTGAGGGGGTTGAAGATGCCCCCAGGGTAGCCGACCTCATTGGGCGGCAGGCTGTAGTTCTTGAAGATGGGGTCCTGGTTGACGCTTCCAGGGTACTTGATGTCTTGCCACCTCCTGATCTCCACGTAGTGGAAGAGGATGAACTCGATGACGAAGAGGGTGGAGGAGGACGCGAAGTACTCGGCCTTGCCGGCGTCGTACCACTGCGGCGCGTTGATGATGCCGATCTTGGTGAAGACCTCCGGCAGAAGCATCCCCGCTACCCCCAGCATGGCCCAGCGCCCGTTCACGAGCTCCGCCTGCACGTACCACCTGAGGTTCTCGGGGTCCTCCGCCAGCCCCAGAGGGTCGAATCCATTGTCGCCCGGCAGGCTGCGCCATATCATTAAACAAGGTTAACCAGCAGGTCCGCCGGCAGAATCTGCTGTAATTTGCATGGTTAAGAAGTCAGATGAGTGACCTGCCGTCGAGGTAGGTAGGCGAAGCGAGGCCCGGGAGCCATTCGCCCTTCTTGGCTTCTACCTTGAGGGACCTGTAGGATGAGGACGGCGAGGATCTGGCCGCGAATTCCCTCGCCAGTTTGCCGGAAGACCCGGTCATGAATCTCGACCTGGAGCTGCATGGCCGCAGGGCGGCGACCGACGCTTGAGTTGCGACTGTGGCCATCTTAGCCTGATGGATTCCTCAGGCAGCTGGTGATGGTGGCGACGCTTGTGTTGCTGCTGAAGTGCCGACTCCGTTGCTTTGTACGCCACCAGAGAGCGTTCTTGTGGCCAAAACGTAGGAATGCAATCCAGCCACTGGTTTCGTGGGATTCGGATATTGGACGGCTGAGATGTGTTGGGTGATTTAGCCGGCCAATGGGAAACCTCTGAATCCTTATCCCTCCTTATCTGATGGCCAATCCAAGAGATCTATTGGTGGAGTGCTATTGGCCAGTAGAAGATGATGTGGGCCCTTCCCGGTCCTACTTCTGTGGCAGTCTGTGCACCATATTAATGGACTCTGCCTCTTTTCCCAAGATTAGTTTAGTGCCTGAGTGTATTGCTGTGCAAATAACATATTAAATTAAAGATTAGTGTAAAAATTGAAGAATAACATATTTAAATAGAAAAGGTGAGTTAAAAATAATAATAACTTTTTTAAATCCCATTTTGATGTGAAGATATCATAAAAATGATATTTTGGTTACATTTAATAAGTAGCAGAGAAAATTATTTGGCAGGTGGGACCGAATCTGATTCAGTCGAATCAGATCGGTTGGTGGACCGGACCGGTTTGGAATTGGCTTCCCGACCGACCACAGCTGCGTGTTACGCGGTTGCCTGCCTCGGTTGCCTTGCCAGAGTCGCTGTGGCGTATTGCTCCATTCCTTGCCTCCCATAGCTTCCCAAGCCATGGAAGATCCTCACAAGATCCATGCAACTGGGTTTCCTGCACGAATCCAATTCCTTTTTGGCCTCCTCTGCCATTCCTTTCCCCTCTCCGGAGAACCATCGACGAAAGGTTTAAAAGCCATGCAACTGTCCCGTTCCGTTTCAAACGTACCAGCGAGCCAGAGAGTTGTCATCCTCTCTAATGGGAATCCATGCGGCCATCTTCTGGCTCCTCCTCCTCCTCTATCCCTTCCACGAAGCGTTGCTCGCCGGCGCGCTGGGGTGCAACTGGGGAACCCGATCGTCCCACCCGCTGCCGGGTGACATCGTCGTGAGGCTCCTCAAGGACAATGGCTTCGACAAGGTCAAGCTGTTCGAGGCCGATCCCAAAGCCCTGCGCGCCCTCGGCCGCTCTGGCATCGAGGTCATGGTCGGCATCCCCAATGAGTTCCTGGCCCCGCTGGCCGGCAGCGTCGCCGTCGCCGAGCAGTGGGTGACACAGAACGTCTCCGCCTACATCTCCCGATATGGCGTCAACATAACGTACGTAGCGCGTTAGGAACGTGATTGAAGCAGTTCTTCTTCCTTCGCCTTGCCTGTTCGTGTGTTGATGTTTTGGTTGAGTTCAGGCATGTCGCTGTTGGTAATGAGCCGTTCCTGAAGACCTACAAGGGGATGTTCCAACGCACCACGTTCCCGGCGCTGCAGAATATACAGGCGGCGCTCATCAAGGCCGGCCTTGGGCGCCAGGTGAAGGCCACCGTGCCGCTGAACGCCGACGTGTACCAGACGAACAACCAGCTGCCCTCTGGCGGCGACTTCCGGCCCGACATCCGCGACCTCATGATTGCGATCATAAAGTTCCTGCAGGACAACGGCGGCACGCTCACCATCAACATCTACCCATTCCTCAGCCTCTACGCCGACCCCAACTTCCCCATCGACTACGCCTTCTTCTCTGGCTCGGCCGCCCCCGTGGTCGATGGGTCCATAACCTACTCCAACGTGTTCGAGGCCAACTACGACACCCTCATATGGGCGCTCGAGAAGAACGGCTTCGAATCCATGCCGGTGATCGTGGGCGAGATCGGGTGGCCGACCGACGGCAACCCCAACGCCAACCTGGACTACGCCCACAAGTTCAACCAGGGACTCCTCGACCGCATTACGAAGCGCCAGGGCACGCCGAAGCGGCCGACCCCGCCGGACATCTACCTCTTCGGCCTCGTCGACGAGGACACCAAGAGCATCCAGCCCGGCAACTTCGAGCGCCACTGGGGGATCTTCTACTACGACGGCACCGTCAAGTACCCCTTGGTGTTGGAGAACGGCCAGGATCTCGTCCCGGCCAAGGGCATCAAGTACCTGAGCAAGCAATGGTGCGTGCTGTCGCCGGAGAGGAGCATCACCGACCCCGCCATCGCCGACAGCGTCAACTACGCCTGCCAGTACGCCGACTGCACCAGCCTCGGCTACGGCTCGTCATGCAACGAGTTGGACGCGAGGAGTAACATCTCCTACGCTTTGAACCAGTTCTACCAGGTGGCGGATCAGCAGAAGGGCGCGTGCAGCTTCTCCAACCTGTCGGTGATCACCAACATCGATCCGTCGCAGGGCAGATGCAAGTTCGAGATCATGATCGACGTGGGAAAGCATGAGAAGTCGGTCAATTCCGGTGAGGAAGGATCAGCTCGGATCCGGTGGAACGCGGTGGTGGCGATGGTGGTCTCGGCGGTGCTGCTATCGAGCGCAAGTAGTGCTTTGCTTTAGGATCGCGTGACCATCTGTGGTCTTCATATACACATACAATTTGCTTCTCTTTCAGATTCAGGGAAGATGAGCTTCGCCAACATAACTTTCCATCAAAATGAGATATACAGAATGTGTATAATTCCTCGATAGATAGGAAACAGCAATCTGTTTATTATCAATCATCTGTTCTTTTATGAGTCAAAGAATACTGTTCTTCAGATTCACTACGAAAGTGTTGGGCATCATAGCCATGATATGAACTGTGAGACAGGGTTGAAAGGGTGATACACCAAAGTCTGGAATTACATCAACTTTTTCACATAAATGAACTAACAAATCCATGTAATTAGAACATGTAGTCATCCTGATCGCCGGCTCGTCTGCTAGTCTCTTGTCCATCTCCCCCAGCCATTCTGTTGTTCATCTTGACCCTCTTGACCAGACGAACTAGGGCTTGCACGACCTCGGACATGGGTGGTCTGAATTCTGGCTCAGACTGTCACATAAAATACATGCAACAAAATTGAACTCTAAGCACATACCACCAAGATATTCAACATAACCAGCAATGTCTTAGCTTGTGATGTGTGTAGATTTCAAGTTAGGTCGAAAATTCAGATAGTTTGGTTTTGCCTTGGCAAAAGACAGAGATGTTGAATGTTTTTACCTGAACACAGAGGGCAATTACATCAGCAAATCGAGAGAGCGATTTTGCAGGGTACAGCCCCTTGAGAGCAGGATCAACCATCCTGTCCAGGGCATCAATGTCATGGAGCTGAGGAGTCGCCCACTGAACCAAGGACTGCTCAGATCGTGGCCTTGAGCTGTCATAAGTTTGCAAAACAATTAAATCAGCAACACCATGTACTAAAATCATCAAAATATTGGCTCAGAAGCATTCACAGTCAATGCTATCATAAGACAAATCTTAGTCAAGTCGAAAGCGTAAACTCATGGTTCAAGATATCAAATATGGCCTCTTATCCGTGATTCTTTCTGAAGAGATTACCTGTCAAAAGGTTTCCTGCCAGTCATGAGCTCCAGCATGACCACTCCGAAACTGTACACATCACTCTTCATAGTATACTGGCCAGACATGGCAACCTCAGGTGCACTGTAACCCATATTTAGTTCAGATGCCTGTACAAGTCATTAAACAAAAAGGTCAGAAGCATTTTAGAAAATGCAGTGGGTTCATGATTGTTATCAGAAAAAAGCATATGTGCCGTAAATTCAAAACAAGATCAAAATGCATTCTTTGTATGCATTTGTATCATATATTTACAATCATTTTGATCATTAGCAATAATATAGATATACGAATGGATTTTATGCCACCAGTTTTCTATTAGATAAGCAAAAAAGTATTTTCAAATCATATAAATTTTATTTCTTAAATGATTTGGATAACATGAATCAAGATCAATGGAGCTGATCATGGAACTAAAACCTTGATGATTGACTTTAAGCTAGAATCCAATGAAAATTAAAGCCTCAATACTATCACCTCAAAATCAATTATAAGGGCTCCAAAACATAAATTACCATGTTGAAGTTGTTCTATGAGATCCAAAAGGCTTAGAAATGAAAAAAATCAAACTTTCTAAAAGATCTTAGCATTTGCATAAAATGGACCAGAAAATAAACAAATTTAACAGGATGCAGCATATTTTGATGCAATCAATAATAATAGAAGTATCATGATCAATCATTTAATTTGTCAATTGAAATAATCTTAAAATCATATTTTTCATAGATGAATGCCTTTTACAACATTCATGTTTATCAGTTTGATGAACACTTGAATTTTATTAAAAACACATGAAATTTGGTTTTTAATCATTTTTAAACATCATAGATCATGTGCAGTGACATTTATCTTGGACTTGAAGCTTCCATTAATAATATAAATGTAATACAATTGAGACCTCAATCCTTTGGTAGGACTCCATTTCACTCTCTCATTATCAAAACTGCAGCCTACATGTGCTTTTTTCAGTCGCTTATAAGCAACCCTGGTTTGCCTCAGTCTTAAATCTGTTAAGTTCAATTGCAAGTTATATGAGCAGTTTATATAGAAAACAAGTTGATACAAAAAATATTTGCTTTTTTCAGTCGCTTATAAGCAACCCTGGTTTGCCTCAGTCTTAAATCTGTTAAGTTCAATTGCAAGTTATATGAGCAGTTTATATAGAAAACAAGTTGATACAAAAATTATTTACCTTAGGTCATGCCAAATATGTCGGATCTTTTATGAGTTTAACATCAATTTATGTAATTTTTTGATCTAGTCTCATCTGATAGTTAATTTTTTTAGTCTCTATGGACTATGGGGTGCCAATTAGAATGTATCTCAAATTGCTTTAAGGTAATATTTTTGTGACATATTGCCTAATTATCATGAAACGAAAATAAGACGTTAGTCTTATGATGTTGGTTCTTGTTGAAGATAACAATATGAAGAGAACGAAAATGCACAGATATGTCATATCAAGTATGCAAAAACTCTTATAGATGACCATGTTGAGACCTACTGGAGAACCCAATACATTATTCTAGTTCATAATGTCTTAGCATTTTCTAAGAGGATTCTGTAATCAGAATAGAATATATGATCTCACACATTACCTGGAATTCTGCATTGGGAACAAGACCTTCGAGCCCACAATCTGACAGGTGTGGATTAAGTTCCATGTCCAATAGAATGTTGGATGACTTGAAATTTTTGTGAATGACCGATGGTGAGCAAACCTCATGCAGATACCTGCATTTAGAATGTTAAGATACAAAATAATCAAGGGAAAAGCCAGAAAAAATCTCCAGAATCTGTGATGAGAAGATGATCCATGCATGTTGATGAATCACATAATGAACTAAAATGCTTACATGAGATAAAGGACAATAGGATTTCAGGATTTACAAAATGGAACTTAAAAGCAATGGATTTAGATGAACTTGTGAGTTTCAGAGATCTCTATAAATTAAATTCTCAATCAACTCTTCGAGTAAATTGGAATAAAGACCAGCATGGTATAATGAGAAAAAGCAACAGACACAATTTCCCTTCCATAAATAATGTTTGAAATTCAAATAGAGAAAAGATCAACCAAAAGTTCTCACTTACTCTAATGCTCGTGCAGTGCCAAGTGCAATCTTGACACGATCATTCCAAGACAGTGGTTCGTCTGAGAGTTGGAGGAGATCATATAATGCGCCATTCTTTTGAAATTCATACACCAACAGTCGCTGTCCATGCTCAGAACAGTAACCTACCAGCTCAGTCAAATTCGGATGATGTAAACGGGAAATGTTTCCAACAATCTCAATGAATTCATCAGATGATCTGCTAGGCAGGGCCGTTAAGTTTAATTTCTTCACAGCCAATACCTATTCAAAAATGAAAATGTTAATAGATAGTCTACTTCTTAATTTTCTTTAGTATCTCAAAGCATGTCGCACACATCTACACTTTCAGAAAATTCAAGAAAAAAAGTTGTTGCAATAGTTCTTTCTAAAAACAAGGTAAAAAAACAGTGAAGCCAAAATCTGACAACCTGCAAAAGTTCGGAGGATCGGGTAAGTTAACTATACCTTAAAAACTTGTGTTCTATCATGAACATAAACACATAAAATGCTAATGATTGTGTAATACAGGTTGTTGTGTTACGAAGATGGCTGGAATTTTCTGTAAATAAAAGTGAATATCTTCTTGGTAATAATAAAATGTTAAAAGGCATCTCTTGTTGCTAAAAAATGAAAAGTGCTAAGGTCCTATTTACAAGGAAAAAAGAACCATATTTTGACATATAAAAGCTGATGATGACATAGGTGCTTCAATGCTATGTTTTGTTAAAGAACATAGTAGATTAAATTAGCTGAGAAGCCTTCGTTTAACAACATTATGTACTAGTGTGAGATGTTATATTTACTAGTGTGATGTTATCTGCTATATAATCATGGTTTGTGCATGTAGTTCACATTCATTCAGCAAGTCTTTGCTCTGATTGTTTTATGCTCATTTTGCAGCCACATGTGGACATTGCTTTTTAGTATAATTTACTCCAGGTAATATTGTTCAAGATTGATCTGAGGTTTATAGACGAGGTGTCTCCTCAGTTGTAACATGGGATGCAAAGTATGAACTGTATGCATGTGAGTGATTTTCAAGATCAGAGAAACTGCCTGATAGAGGTTATACAAAAGATAGCCATATCTAGCTAAAAGAGAAAGAATTTATGGTTTTAAGGAAGCCATACCTTTCCATCACTAAATTGTGCCCTGTAAACACGACCAAAAGAGCCTTCACCAACAAGATTATCTTCACTAAAACTGTCTGTAGCAATCTGCAGGTCAGCTACAGAATAAATAATTGCTTTTATGGATGTTGTATTAACCTTCTTCGCGATAGGCTTGTTTGAGAACTCATCTTCATCGAATGATTTATAACGATCAATTGGTGGAGGCTTAAGGCTTACTGGAGCTGGTGGTGGCAACTTTTCTGTGTCAAACATAGAGGATGTTTGGACCGTCTTCATCTCTGCAACTAATTAGTTACATAGTAAGCAAATTAATTTCCTGAATCTGAACAAAAATTTCTGACGGCATGCTGCACTTAGTGCAACATCAAGAAAACTGTTCACAAAGAGGTTATTACTTCATTTTTCAAGCAAGAGAGATCAGTAGATGGTATTCATGTTGCAATTGGCCAATTCCAATGAATTCATCATTAATGAACTTTTGTCACAAGTTATGTGTTTAACAATAATTGTTGACTACAGTTTCCAGCAACATGGCATTCATGAAAATCATTTATCTTTAATTATTAGAAGCTTCAAAATAATTGATTGATGTACTATTTTCTAGGTGTAAGATTGTTCCGATACTATGTGGGTTTTAATAGTTTGAGCCATGACAATGACCATCTGCATGCAAGAGTAAGACTGAACATCCTACCATTTCTAGACCTCTTGTTAGCAGGAGCATCATGCATGTGCATTGACAAAAATAGTCCTATTATACTCTTGACAAAAATAGTTCCTAGCATTTGTGTTCCAACTAAGAGGTTTTGTGTAAATAAAATTAAAAGAATGTCTCCAATCATAGATTGTTTGTATTTTCAATTTTTCAGATATGACAACATCCTGCATTGAAGTATTCATTTGTTTCATAACTACCGTGGCTATTACTTCAGCTAATGTTCAGACAATTTAAAGAATTGAACAATGTTCAATAAATTAGTTAAGAATTATAGATTATGTAGGTCTACCATTGGTAGAAGTCTTATGTGTCACCACAAAAAACCATCGAGATAGAGTGGATGATGCAGCAGATTTACCAGTGAAGGGAGAGAAAAAAAATTGAACAGAAAAAAGTAGAACATATCAAATTAAAAGAACAGGGACTACAATCTCAACCTCAACAATCTGACTGGTATCAGCCAATTAAAAATTAAAATTTAGGCCAAAAGTCCAGCTTTCATTTAAAACAGGTGGCAGTCAGAATCAAAAAGGATGAGATCATACATAATATCCTTTTATAAATTCAACTGAATTTATTTTAGCACATATATAGTTACATCCCTGAAACAAAGTTTCATATGTGTGGCTTTAGGAGCTTCAAAATTAGAAGGCATTACAGAAATCTAGGTCATTTATGTACAGCTGAGCAAACATTCAACAATAATATTGTGGCCATATTAATATCCAAGGGCATGAGGCCCTCACCAATGAGGGGCAAAGGGGGTCCTACATACACATCCTAAATCTTATGTCAAAACAGTTAGCAAGAGATCATCCTTGTCATTGCATCAAGGCCCATCATTTAGGTTAAAAAATAGTACAGTGAAATCAAATAAACAAGATTGTAGTGGTTCATTTCTTAGTCAAGACAATGAAAGAAGATACAGTTAGTCATTTCAAAAGTCATGACACTATATAATATGCATGTATTAATCAACCATGCTGATCTATGGCAGATAGACTTTGATCAAATCATGGATAGACACAATTCAAACTACCTTTAACTTCATCTGAAGCAAACTGAGCAAAAGGCCGGTCTTGTTCAAGACTTTCTTCTGTTGGATATTTTCTCGATTTCCTCCGTATCACAAAGAATGCAATTATTCCACCTACGATTAAGATAGATATGATAATTCCTGCTATTCCCCCACCACCTATACCACCAGATTTTTGACCAGCGTTGCTTTTTCGACCTGGTGGAGGAGGTGTATAAGGTGGAGGAGGAGGTGCTGGCCCAGAGCTCCACTGGTTATTCTCAGTGCTACAAACAAAGATTTACAAATAGGTCTGTTATGAAGAATTCATCTGTAATTAGATCAAATGATGTCAATGAAGTTCATTAAGTACTCACTGGAGATTGTTTATCCCCTTTAACTGGTTAGGAATCCAACCAGTGAAGCGGTTATTTGCAACGTTCCTAAAAACAAATATGTGTACCTTGTCAAACATATGATGTGAAGACGATATCCAATTTTTAAAGGACAGCTTTATATGTAAACTTACAAATTTTGAAGAGGAAGACCGGCAAGGACATCTATGTGACCAGTGAACTGGTTGTTCTCCAAATATCTGAAAGGGAACAGACACTGGTTATTAAAGCATTCATAAAACAACAAGGCATTTTCTACATGCATGAAATTCAGTACTCTTACAGGCTCGTCAAACTTGTTAAGCTGCTGAAGCTCTGTGGGAGGTCACCTGTTAGTGAATTGGAAGACAGGTCTCTGCAGTATACATTCCTTATTCTCAGAATGTCAAGTAATCAAGTAAAACCAGAAGAGGAACTGATGGATGCATGGTTAGACCTCTACAATCCAAATACAAAGATCGGCAGGAAAGATTTCAGTCTCTGCCACACTAACTTCAGCAACTTACATGCAAGAAAATTTAGGCAACATCACTAATAAATAAGACAGTAATTATCTATAGCCCAGATGATAAAGTGGAAAAAGGTGGACTTGCACACTATATGTAGACTCAAATGTGTTTGCCGTGAACAATAAGAATACAGTAAGTGATCAATCAGAATGTTAATTTACACCTACATTGTCGCCAGATTCGAGAGGCTTCCAAACATGTCACCCAGATTTCCTTGGAGTTGATTGTGAGCGAGATTTCTACATGCATTAGTGCATATTTTAATATAAAATATCAGTTAAAATAGCTCCATAAAGGGAACATAATGTGATTTCACAGGCCACTCACAGATATTCTAGTGTGACCATCGGGGAGATTGAATAAGGTAAACTTCCACCATACTGGTTATTGCTGAGGTCTCTGCAGACAATATTATCATAAGACTGATGCCAATATAGCTGACTAACAGTTGAAGTAATCATCATCTACATTTTAACTTACAGCCTGTGGAGATTTGGAGGAAGGTTATAAGGTATCGAACTTTTGTTTCCAAGATTATTTTTGCTCAGATCACTGCACAAAAATTAAAAAAAATTAAAACCCCAAGAAAAATCTCGACACAAGAATTATACCATATATAACTTATCCAACTTACAGCTCAGTTAGTGAAGACAATTGGTTCATGTTGTAGCCAAGTGTTCCAGTAAGTCCCAACCCCGACAGTTTGCTACAAACCCAATGAAGAGAACATGCATCAGATAGAGTAAAACAAGATATCGGTTCGGCAAATTTGTCATGATACAATCTCACATGGCAGTAACCGAAGAGCCAGAGCACGTAATTCCTAGCCATGATTCCCCGCATGGATCACCACCACTTTGTTTCCAGCCTGTCAGCTGGGATGCCGAGTTCAAACTGCTGAACAATACACTGAGAGCAGAAGCTGCAAATGGAGCATGAGAAATGAGAAATGTCTTCACATCGGCTTTGACAAAGCTTAAATTTTCATAATTCCCTTGGACACGAGAACATGTCAACCAAACCTAGGCATCAATACTTCGTTCCGGGGAAGGTTCAAGAATGAAAGTTGGAAGTCACAAAAATAAAACCTGCTCATCTAACCATTTTTGGAAATAAGAGGTTGCTGCAGAAGTAGTAAATCTTTTCTATATTTCTAAAGATTGCATTTAGGATATGTAATAAACATGGAAAATCAAATCAACCAAACAAGATTCTATTAGAAGATCACAAAATAACAACATATCAGGTCTTCCAACCACAAATTAGAGCAAAAATGCAAATATTCTTCTGCTAGTGAGACAGATCGTTACCGAACCAGTCAAAACGTGCATTCTAAATCAAAAGTACTCAATCGCCTGAATCCAAAAGCTCCCATCATCTTCCAACCAAAGGCACGAAATTTTCGCAAAAAATCTCAAAACTTGAATCAAACCCAAACAACACCAACTAGACATTTGACCAACCAAAGACCAGTACACCAGAACAGATCAAGAAGACAACTGCAGAAGCCAAGCAAAACTCATCGAAAAGGAAAAAAAGATTCAATCTGCAGACACCAGGTCAGATATCCTTTCCCACAATCGCTTCACATCTGCTCTAAACCGGTAACCTCAAAAGGCTCACCAGGAATCCGAACCCACTCACCGTCATTGCTGTCCGTGTCGCCATTGACGAAGCCTGGATTCCACGCCCAAGTGCAGGCCAGGAGAACCCAAATCGCCACCATCCCTTCCCCTCCCACCCTCGCCATTCTCCCAAGGGCTAGAAGAACAAAAAGCTCGTCTCTTTCCTACAGATAAGAATATACATGCAAGTCTCCCTCCTCTGGACAACTGACGGAGGTGAAGGAAAGCTAGCTGGCACCAAGAACGAGAGGAATCGAAAGGAGGAACCTTTTACATAAAAAAGTAAGTATTTGCAGTCGATTTCATGAACTTTCTTTTCGCGGAAAAGAAAAAGATAAAACAAAGGTCCTTTTTTTTGTTACTATGAGCTGTTGAGTGCACTTAAGAAGAGGAAAGTGACGGGAGGTCACGGGAGCAAACGAATCAGGGCCGTCGGTTCCTTCCATATATAAAATAAGATGGTGATCGATCACAGGACTTGATGTGGATGTTCGCATATTATATTGCACTAGCCTTGATGGCTCGTTAAGATCCGTGCAGATGGGGCCAAATGAGATTATTGGATACGGATCCCGATGTACGATCCGGATCCGATCCTTTCATTTGAGCCGCGTGGCACGTGTGTCGTGCTGTGTGGGGTAAGTGGCTGACAATAATTACTTGATTCAATGGCATTCGACCGTGTCAAATAAATGGAACTGCATGCATCGGTAGTGGCAGCCATATCCCATATCTTATATGTTGTGATTGAAGCGCCGCACTAAGTCGCTCAGTAGCAACAAGCAGCAATTCTTGTCCCCAAAGAACAAGGCCGCTGCAAAGCTGGCATCAACCACGAAAAGACGGTGTGACGCGGCTTCCGTGGGCCCGACATTGCTTGTCTCGGAATCCGGTGGGCCAAGTCGCGTCAACCAATCAAATCGCAGAGTGTCTACATCGGGAGACGGGGAGAGTGGGTGACATGTACTTTTCGAGTTGGCGTCCGAAGGTTGATTTGAGGCTCGCGGTCGTTTTCGTGCTTTCCACGAAACATGTACCGCTCCGCGTTCGTATCACGATTCCTAGCTTCCGGCCACGTGTTACGAGCATGCACATGGACTGCTTCGTCGCTGGTCTGTATTAGACCGGGCCCAATCGAACACGTCCAATGGCCCCTGGATGGGCAGATTTGCCTAAATATTCGTGCTCCAAAACCCTAAGCACCGGCGGCTTGCGCCGGGCTGAATCCCGTGGAAACCCTTGGTGATTTCTTGGGGTTCTTCTCGGTCTTCTTCCTTAATTAACGACGCCTGGCCTCGATCTCCATTAGGTTCTCGATCCGTCTCGAAGCCCAAAAGCATCATATTTTCTCTGGTTACGTGGTTACTGATGAAAGATGGTTTTTTTTTTTTTTTTTTCCGTTAACAATCACCGAGGTTTCTCGTAAGTAATTGTGGACATGTTGAAGACGCGCCAAACTATCGGATCAGGAGAGTTGGTGGCAAGAGGTGAGGGTTGTTAGCAACCGCATCGACAACGGGTATGATGACGTAACGAATAGAACTCCTCCGTCGGATACGTCCATTTTTTTACAATTGTCGGATACGTCCATCGAGAGTTTGACAATTGCTCGCTTGACAACCATCCAAAGTTTCCCTTCCTGATCAATGACAATCGTAATGAATAGAACTCCTCCGACGAATCCTTCATCTCCCCTTTTTCATGCCCATGCAGAAACTGATGTGATAGTAATGGGAGTAGCAAAAGCTTTAATGACCCCATCTTCAGGTTGAGTGATTTGCCCCAATAGGACAACAGTGAGGCGATCACCATCATCATAGGTGATGCAATGACCATCACTATCTACGTTGACACCGATGCAGTTGCCAAGCGACATCTACGGTAAAGATTATGATTGTCTCGCCATTGACCCGTTGGGTGGATTGCTTAACCTGAAACTAGGGTCATCGAAGCTCCTATCGCTCCCCTAGCTGTGACCCTAGCTGTCACGTTAGTTCCTGCATAGGCATAAAAAAGGAGAGATGAGGGACTTGTTAGAGGAGGAGTTCTATTCATCATGATTGTCATCGACCGGGAAAGAAAGATCTGGAAGGCTAGCAAACAAGTGGTTATTGAGTTCCCGATGAACGTATATGGCAACATTAAAAAAAATGTGAATTCGTAAATTCGACGTTAAGTACGTCGTCATACCCATCGTCGACGCAATTGTCAATGGTCTTTACCTCTCGCTATTGTTCTTTTCATCTATAACAACGACTCTAATGGTACCATTGTCCGTAACGTTAAAATTATTTTTTTATTTTTATATTTCTATTAGTAAAATTGATGATAGAGTAAATGAACTCGTGGAAATTGGGATACTAAATATGGTTAATTAGGGTGTAATTTTCTCGGTTGAAGACCCATTGAGATTATGGAAAGCTTGAATTTGTTTTCGATCGTCTATCTGTTTCCACCCCCGTATTGTTTGCTCGGTTGAAGACCCATTGAGATTACGGAAAGCTTGAATTTGTTTTCGATCGTCTATCTGTTTTTACTTTTGTATGAGCGGCGACTAAGCTCGTCTTTCTTTGAATTGATCTACTTTTCATGCAAACAAGAGTTGTGTAATATGTAGAGTTTGTAAAGGAATCGTTTTTCTTGTTCCTTTCCTTCTTTAGATTTTGATCTTAGAAGTTGGACTAGTGCATGCCAGTGTAGCTTAAATGGGGGAGAAGCGGAAGCAGGACGAGGCATCTGCGGCTCCGAAGAAAGAGGAAGTCGCCCAAGAAAGGCCCAAACGCACCCTTTTGGGATGGAAGGATGGGGTTACAGAGAAGGAGAAGGATTATCGTCTTTAGGAACCGAGAGAAGGTCCTTGACACGATCTCGCGCCACATCACATATAGGTAGTCTGGTGTGTTTGCTTGTTTGTTTCTCCAGCTTCTTTGGTACTTCTTTGAGCTTGCATAAATTTGGTCTGGTGGTGCAGAAAGGTATCGGCACTTGATGCTGAACGTGGTGTCCCTCGTGCCTCATTGCAAGAAAGACAGCAAGGTGGAGTCCAAGAGAGCGAGGGGGCTACTCTCAATGAGTTTATTGAGCTTAGGAACTGCTCCAGCTGCTTGTTCTTTGACGTATGGTTCACATTGCATTTGGAAACTTGACTGATTTGCTGTTCTGTTTCTTTAACCTACTTTGTGTACAAATTTCTTGTTTAATTATTATACGTGTTCCATTAGGACCGAAATATATTGTGGATTAGAATTGTTGTTTCTTTTATGACATTTGCAATATCTTCTATTTAGTTCTTTCATCGTTCATATGTATCAGTGCAGAAAGCAGAAAGATCTTTATCGTTGGATGGTGAAGTGTCCAAGTGGGCCTTCTGTGAAGTTCTTGGTTAATGCTGGTAAACATACTCTGATCTCTTATAATTCTTACTGAGCAAATCGTTTATCACCTCTGTACATCTGATTTGATTCTATGATATATGATTAGTTTGCTATGGACTTCTAAAAACTTGTTGTTTCTTTCTAAAGTTTATACAATGGAGGAGCTGAAGCTTACTGGCAATCATTTGAAAAGATCACACCCAATTTTGACATTTTCCTCAAATTTTGACAAAGTACCTTGCATTTTTTTTTGTAGTCAAGTCCTGGCTTATTGCTTTGTTGTCTTTACATGGTGTTGGATTTATAAAGAAGTGATGTAACTGACACTTGGAAATGATGGTAGAAAATATTTCTTGTAGTCATATAACTTTTACAAAGAATTTTATGCATGCATGAATGGTAAGTTTTATGTGTTTATTTTGGAGCTTCTATCATTTTGAACTTTTACTCATCTGTATATAATACAAAGCTTATACAGCTCATTGATATAGTGTAGCAAATTGATACTGCTTGAGGTGTGCTTTTGTTCCTGTTTCAGACTATACATACGGTATTTTGCCTTTTCTCTGTCGAGCTACTGTGAAGCTCTGTAGCTCTTAGACTGGGTCTCGTGCTCCACGGAGCTGATCTTTCTTTCATTGTCTTGATGATAGTGTTAAAATTTTAAAGTTATTATGAAGTTTTATAATAATCGGTTTGAGGCATTTCTCTGTGAAATCATGATTGTTCAGTACTTAGAGCACATCAAAGGATGGTGGATCTCCACTATGAGTTTGCTATTACATTGTAATAATTAGATGGTTTTTAGCAGGCAAGAAGTGTCACTAGCATGGTACATAGTGTGTCAAATCATTTCGAAATATGGTTGAGTAGATGTAACCAAAGATATGAAGTAGAATCCTCATATCATAATCCGGTAGGTTGATTAGTCTTCTGATAAAAAGATCTTTCACCTTCACTGTAATGAAGGCTATAGCACAGTGTACAAGAGTAGGTTGCAGTCTTTTTCCTTCTGCTTGTTATAACCTTTCTTCAAGGCATTTACATTTTATTACTGGTAGTGATTTTGTTGCCGATATCATTCATGGTCTCTTAAGGTTAGTTTGTGCTTGTTGCTAAATTGAGTCTCTAGTTTTTGTTATCCGGAGAATTTTATAAACATAAATGCTTTCTTCATTTGCAGATATTCAGTATCCCAAAGGACCACTGGAAAGTAAAACCTTTCCATGACCATGTCTTTGTCTTTCCAATTGTCGATGATCACATTCGGTTTTGCAATTACCAGGTGATTTATCCTATACATTACAAGGATGATACCTAGGATAGTGATTACACGACAATGTCTGAGGCAACATGTGTGGCATAGTTTGTACACATTTAAGTGCTTCTGTTTTGTAGAATATTAATTTCTTTTCTATCGCTTTCATCTGTATGAGATGTGTGAAGTGGCTAGCATTCGTCAACTGTAATTCCCATCAATAATACCATGTTCACAGTCGCTTGCTATACATATTGATGCTTTGGTTCTAGTTTGACTTGTCTAGTCCACCATGAAGAGTCGCTCAGATATCTCAATCTTAGGAAATGCAAGGTAGAATCGTCTGCTATTTTTGCATAACTGCCCTTCTGTACACCATCAATTGCTCTGATAGTTTGCTTTGGTTGATGTTCTTGGTGCCAGCTAACTACAATATTGTAGTTGTAATTTATAAGTCATATGCCAGAACAAATGGAAGACTTTCTTTGAAGCTTTATTTAATTTGAATGACTTTGTCCTGCAAAAGGCAAACATCTGACTTTCAATTTATTACATATATATTCAGTTTTAAAAGGATAATGTTTTGATTTTTTTTTTCTTCCTGGGTGCAGATTTCTGTACCTCACAATGAGATAGACAAAGTCGATCGTTCGATTGAGGAGATCTAGACAAAATGACGCTTGTGGAGGTACAAAATTG